TTATTTTTAATACTTTAAACAATAAAATAAAATTTAAAAAAATAAAAATTGAAATCCCATTTGACCCAGTAATCCCACTTCTAGGAATATATCCCAAGAAATCAGAAACACCAATCAGAAAGGACATATGTACCTCTATGTCCATAACAGCACAATTTACCATAGCTAAAATTTGGAAACAGCTTAAGTGCCCATCAGCAGAGGAGTGGATTAAAAAATGGTGGTACATCTACACAGAATAATAATAATAATAATAATAATAAAGAAGGAATTCTTACCATTTGCAACAGCATGGATGGAACTGGAGAGCATTATGCTAAGTGAAATAAGCCAGCCGGAGAAAGATAAGTATCACATGATCTCACTCATTGTGGAATATAATGAGCAACATAAACTGATGAACAAAAATAGAGCCAGAGGAAAAAAATATTTTAGAATATAATAGAAGCAATTCTGTTACTTGCAGATTTTTAATATTTCCTACAATTTTTGTAATATTATACTATATTAGTACAGTTTTGGTAATATTATTACATTTAAAATATTTTTTCTTTTTTTAAAAAAAAGAACCTTCTATGTGGGATACCAAAATACATACTCTACCCTCAAAAGAATGATTAAGAGGCCAGGAAAAAGAAACACCAACAGTATTTGATGATAGAAGAAATACCTACAAGAAAAATAAAATTTCTGTGACTCCTTGAAGAGATCAAAGTAATTAGTAAATGACTCTCTGACTTATAAAAATAAGGCAAATTTTTCAACAATTAAGATTTGTGTTTAGTTTTTAAAACTCTGGTAAAATACACATAACATAAAATTTACCATTTTAAAGTATACAATTCAGTGGCATTTAGTGCATTCACAATGTGGTGCAACCATCTTTCTAGTTCCAGAATTTTTTTTTTTTAAAGAATATTACCTGGCCCATTTAAGCACTCAAGAGTGTTAGGTTTGTTTGGGTTTTTTTAAAATATATTTTATTGATTTCTTACAGAGAGGAAGGGAGAGGGATAGAGAGTTAGAAACATTGATGAGAGAGAAACATCAATCAGCTGCCTCCTGCACACCCCCTACTGGGGATGTGCCCGCAACCAAGGTACATGCCCTTGACCAGAATCAAACCTGGGACCTTTCAGTCCACAGGCCGACGCTCTATCCACTGAGCCAAACCAGTCAGGGCCAGAATATTTTTATCACCCCAACAAGAACCACATATGTGTTAAGCAGTCACTCCTCATCCTCTCTCCTGGAGTCCTGGGCAACCACTAACTAGTCTGCTTCTGTCTCTATGAGTTTGCATAATCTGGATAGTTCATATAAATGAAATAATATAATATGTAGCCTTTGAGCCTGGCTTCCTTTTCACACATAACGTTTTTAAGGTTCGTCCATGTCATAACATATATTAGTACTGGATCCTTTTTATGACTGATGATATTCCACTGTGTAGATATGTAACATTTTGTTTATCCAGTCATTCTTTTGGCTATTGTGAATAATGCTGCTATGAACATTTTGTACAAGTTTTCTTTGAACACTCATTTTCAATTATTTTGGAAATATAACTATTGAGTAGAATTGCTGGGTTACATAGTAATTATGTTCAATTTACTGAGGAATTGCCAAGCTGTTCTAAGCAGCCACACCATTTTATTCACCTACCAACAATGTAGAGGGGTCCAATTTCTCCACATATTCACTAACACTTGTTATTTTCCTTTTTTATTAGTAGATAATGTGCTAGCTCACTGTGGTTTTGATTTGCATTTCCTAAGGACGAGTGCTGTTGAGCATCTTTTCATGTTTGTTGACCATGTGTTTGTCTTCTTTGGATAAAGGTCTATTCAAGCCCTTTGCCAATTTTTAATTGGATTGTTTGTCATTTGGTGACACAAATAGGAATGTAATCTTAAAAATATGTCAAGAAAGATACATTCCTAGGTTATGGTAAAATAGCAGAATGGAATGAACAGTGCAAGACCCTACCTATAGGAAGGTCTTTCCTTAACTACTATTATGTGGTTCTGTACAGAAACATAGTAGTGGGGCACTCTTAAATGACCTTTAGAAGGCCTGACATGCTTGTATACTTGGCAAAAATGCTTTACCAAACCTTCCATTAAACATATTCCCCTTCCTTGTAGATGCTTCTCTCCCCCTTGCTTTATATATTATATATATATATATATATTCCTCACCCAAGGATATTTTTCCATTGATTTTTAGAGAGAGTGGAAGAGAGAGGGAAAGACAGAGAGAAATAGCTATGTGAGAGAAACACATAGATTGGTTGCCTCCTGCATGAGCCCCAACCAGGGCCAGAGCAGGGAGGAGCTTGCAATCGATCACCTGGGACCCTTCAGTCCTCAGGCCAACACTCTATTCACTGAGCCAGACCAGCTAGAGTTCCCTCCCCCTTGCTTTAAGCAATTTCTTACAGTTGCCATTAACCAAATTTCACCTGTATATAAAGATTTCTGTAAATGACTTTGTGTTTGGTTTTATATACCTAAGACTGATCCTATGATTTTAATACTCCCATACACAGAAATATTGCTTTATGTATAATCCCATTACATTTTAAAATCTGTTTTCTCTTTATATTAACAATAATGGAAAAAAGCTGCACATAACCTCAAAGTAGAATGCCCTAAAGATATTATTACGTTCAGTTCAAAGAATTGAATGTGTATTAACATCTTAATTCTAATGCCTACAAGCTTGCAAATGTGCCCAAACTATCAAATTTTTAAGTCAAAAACATAACTTTTTAAAAATTCTTACATTCTGTCCTGCCAATGAGTAAGGAAGAATGTCGCCCTTGACAACTGCTTCTGCTAGGTCATCATTATAATGAGCCAGTCTCCCAAAAGCCAAAGCAGCAGTCTGTTGAATTGTTGGGACCATGTCCAGAAGAGGCCTCAGCAAAGACATTGCACCTGAGTGAAATTATGAAAAAACAGAAATCAGCAAAACTTAAATTAAAAAGCAAAACTACAATTTAGCATAGTATAGCCAAATAAAAAATTAAGGGAAAAATCAGCAAAAACAAAAAATTAGCCACTAAAAACTAATGGGATATTTAGAAGCATATAATTGGCCAAGACACAGAATAATAAAACCTGTAATTATCAAAGAAGCAGCATAGTGTGGAAATAAGAACGGCTTTGGGTTTAGAGAATTTAAATCCCTGATTTGCAAATACTAGCTATGTGACCTGATAGGGCTGTCAGGACTAATGCAAAGAAAAGTTGTGAAGCACATTGCATAATGCCACCCTCAGCCTTTGCAAATTATATCTTTCAGAGTTGAGTTCAGATTATTTCATCTCAGTGAAGTCTTTCATTTGTGTGGTGTTTTGTTTTGGAGTTGTTTCTTTTCTCTAACTTTTGGGTCTTCCTCTGGTTCCAAATGAACTTAGAGTTTATTACGGAAATTTTATCGGGATCTATCACAGGGCCAGGGAGCAGGAGGGCCATTTGGCTAGGACCTCACATTCATGAAGAGCTGCAAATCATATTGCTGACATTATCTCCAAAAAATAAATTCTTTGATAGAAGAAAGTATATTGTATTATGAGGTCTCACAATATCATTTTAGGATTGTCTACAGTGTAGGTTTATCATCCTCACAACAATAATAAAAACAGTTTATATTTGCAGAGCACTTGTATGCATGCATTGTTTTCAAGATTTGTTTTCCATATTAATTTACTGACCTCTCATAACAAACCTATGATGTAGGCCTTATTATTATGTCTATTATACAGATGAGGACATTGAGGCTGAGAAAGGTTAAAAAAATTATCACACAACTAATAAACGGTAGAAAAAGTTTAGAAATTTTGACATTCTTTATTGATCATCTATAATAATAAAAGCATAATATGCTAATTAGACCGGACATCCTTCCGGACAACCTTCTGGATGAAGCCGGGGCTGCAAGGGAAGCCTGGGTCCCAGGTGCCTACTGGCAGCTGGAGGGAGGCCCGGGTCCCGGGTGCCAGAGGGAAGCCGGTGCCAGCAGTGGGGGGAAGGAAGGCCTACTTAGCACAAATTTCATGCATCAGGCCTCTAGTTGCTAAATAAATAATATGTATTAAAATTGAGGCGGTCGGAAAAGGGAGACAAATAATTGCATTTTGGTCATTTTATTGGACATTCCAACTCTTTATATTAACTTTGCCTTACTAGAAAATATATAAAATAGTCAACAGCTATTTGTGCTTTATGATGGTGTTTTAGTCTAAGGTTACTAGAAAGGTAATGATGTTAATGATGGTGTTTTAGTCTAAAGTTGCAAGAAAGGTAATGATGGAGTTCAAACTGGAACAAAGTGCTTTTGACTTTCTAAACTTTATGTAATTTACAGAAGGCTATTCAACTGAATAATAATTAAAGATTAATAATAATTAATCTTTTCTATGAAAACATATTCTAGTGATCTATAAAAGCATATATTACCAATATTCTTTTATAATGATACATCCAGAAACATTTGAAATAGAATAAAAGGAAAACATTTACAATAATATTTAGGATTAAAGTAAGAGAAATAGTATTACCAAATAACATGAACAGAGAATAATGATGCTTATCTCAGATACATATAATGATGTGACCTGTGGCTTTTTATAGTCTCACACTTCATTTAGTGATCATTTTTATATCTAAGTTGCTTGGTTAGACCATCTAATACAGTGGTTCTCAACCTTCTGGCCCTTTAAATACAGTTCCTCATGTGACCCAACCATAAAATTATTTTCGTTGCTACTTCATAACTGTAATGTTGCTACTGTTATGAATCGTAATGTAAATATCTGATATGCAGGATGGTCTCAGGCGACCCCTGTGAAAGGGTCGTTCGACTGCCAAAGGGGTCGCGACCCACAGGTTGAGAACCGCTGAATACAAGACCACAGTTTCAAGTTTAAACCGCACAGGCTGGTTAACTTTGCAGGCACACAGCACTCCTACTCATGCCTAGATCATAGCTCCTAACAAATCAAAGCATAAACAAATCAATATGCCTATGCTCATAAGTGTTGCTTATATTATTATCTATACCTTTTCCATAGAGATATTTAGGAAATATCTCACAACAAAAAGTCTAAAGCACAGAATAAGGTACTAGAATTACCAAGCATTAACATGGGTTCTTTCTGGAAAGTTAGGTTAAAACAATTTATCCATCTCTTCATTGTAGTTTGCTTTATTACTTCATTTTTTAATTGTAGTAAAATTCACATAACATAAAAATTACCACTTAAACCATTTTTAGTGTACAATTCAGTGGTATGAAGTTTCATAATGAATATATTAATGAGGCAAAAAATATAAACTATAAGTATGCCTAGAATAGTTTCCAACGATGTGTAATCATCACCATCATCTAGAACAGCGGTTCTCAACCTGTGGGTCGTGACCCCTTTGGGGGTCAAACGACCCTTTCACAGGGGTTGCCTAAGACCATCAGAAAACACGTATATAATTACATATTGTTTTTGTGATTAATCACTATGCTTTAATTATGTTCAATTTGTAACAATGAAATTGGGGGTCACCACAACATGAGGAACTGTATTAAAGGGTCGCGGCATTAGGAAGGTTGAGAACCACTGATCTAGAAACTGTTAAACTGTTTTCTACAGAAGCTGAACCATTTTACATTCCAACCAGCAAAGTGCAAGGGTTCAGATTTCTCCATATCCTCACCATCACTCATTTCCCATGTTGTTTTAAAATAATAGGCATCCTAATAGGTATGAAGTGGTATGTCATTGTGGTTTTGATTTACATTTCCCTAGCACTAATGATGGTGAATGTCTTTTCATGTGCTTGTGTATTGGCCATTTGTACATCATCTTTGCTGAAATGTCTATTCAAGTCCTGTGCCCATTTTTAAATTAGGTTGTTGTTGTTGTTGAATATAACTTGAAATTTTTTATAATAAATACGCACCATTTAAAAAAGAAGAGCAAAGAAAAAGAAAAGCTAAATTTGTTTACATATATTTAAAGTTTCATAGTAAATATATTAATGAGGCAAAAATATAAACTATAAGTATACTTAGAATAGTTTTAAGAGAATCACAATTTAAAAAATAAAAGAATCATGATTATGGTTCATGTTATTTTTTTTTCTGATGATTCTGGTATTTCCTTTTTTTCCTTACTTGATAAATTTATGTGAAGTGGCTTATTGTCTTTTGAAATATAATTGGAAAATCAATACATACTGGATTATTCCACCTAAATATTTCAAATTAAAATCTCAAGAACTTTAAACTTCCATGGTAAGAATTTGATGAATTCATCTATTTAAGTATATAATATTTAACTTAATTATGTGTTTATTATTACTTACAGTATTTAGCTAATATACCAAAACCTCCAATTTTGGAAAATTTCAGTTTGCAATTTTAGCATTAAAATATTTTACCCCCCAAAGTGTATTTTACTTGTCCATATACTCAAAGGAATTTTCTACTTTCTCCTCCACTTTTCTATTGCATCTGGACTAAGAAAATAATGTCAACAAAATGACACATAATTCCTTTCCTTCTATTCCTGTTTTCATTATCCAAGTTAGGCTCCTGCATGGAACTTCTGCTCTATCATACTTTTCCTGTATTCTTTAGTCCAAACAGTAGCACAATGAGGATTTTGCAAAAAATTTAAATCTCTGAACCTATACAAGTAAAAGCTAAAATTCCCATTTAAAATACCTGTTTAGAGGCCTAACCGGTTTGGCTCAGTGGATAGAGCGTCAGCCTGCAGACTGAAGGGTCCCAGGTTCAATTCCGGTCAAGGCCATGTACCTTGGTTGCGGACACATCCCCAGTGGGAGGTGTGCAGGAGGCAGCTGATCGACGTTTCTAACTCTCTATCCCTCTCTCTTCCTCTCTGTAAAAAATCAATAAAATATATATTTAAAAAATAAAAAAAATAAAAAAATAAAATACCTGTTTAGAGGGTAAATGGGGGATAAATGGTGATGGAAGATTAGACTTTGGATGTTAAACACACAATACATTATACAGATGATGTGTTATAGAATTGTACACTTGAAACCTATGTAATTTTATTAACCAATGTAACCCAAATAAATTCAATGATAAATAAATATCTTTGTTTGAATAAGATCATTCTTTAGGGAAAATATGGCCCCTAATTTCTAGTCCTTAAATTTTCTCTTAGTGGTTTATCATCAATCATTAAGTCCCCAGGGACATGATTTTTATCTCTTACACAGCATGGATGGAAACTTTGTTATTTAATTACAGGTTTGTCCTAAAAATACAGATAATGATACAAGAGACACTGAGAGACAAAAGGGGTAAAGGTAGGGGAAGGGAAGACAGGGGGAAATAAGTATATATAACATAAAAAGAAATTTTTTCTTACCTGCCTGTCCATTAGGAATCCATAGTGATTGATCCTTGGTGAATAAATGCATGAAAATTTAGAATCCATAAATTACAGCAGTCTGAAATAGTTGCTATACCTGATACACAAGGTCTCTAAGGAGCAGCTAATGACCTTATTGGGCTCTCCACTGAAGGAGCCAACATGATCTATCTAATACCTAATATTAACAATAATTCATATATTGTACTCTAATATTTATAAAACAAGTTAGTGTACTCTATGCAAACTGATAAAATAGTGTGAAACTATTTTTGAACTTTTATAGGATACATCTTTATAATCCTCTCCTACCCCAACTTTATAGCTTTGAACTCCTTTCGTATTTTTCTTGTTCCAGTGCCATACTGGAGACATTGCTGCTAATACCTACATTGCAATCCAGTTATGCCCCAAACAACCTTGCTGATCCTGCCCACATCATTCATTCAAAAAACAGATCAGAGTTTATCAAGTGGCAAGGAATAAAACTACATACATGAGTTAAGGCAGCTCCTACTCTCAAGAAACTAATAATCAAGTGGAGAATATAAAATAGCCTCAAAATAATCCCAGCTCTTTCCTTTAATTCCTTTCAATGCAACATAGGCCTAATTACTTGATTTTGCATGCCTACTGCATATATAAATTAGGAAGAAAATGTCAAACATTTCCAAAGACAAAAAAAAATTACTCAAATTACTCATTCATTCTCATATTATATATATAATTTATATACATATTACCTCAATTTTCTGTTTATAAAGATATTTAACATATCAACGTTGTTTCTTTAAAAACAAGTGTCTGTCCCGGCCAGTGTGGTTCAGTGGTTGAGTGTAAACCTATGAACCAGAAGGTCACTGTTTGATTCCCAGTCAGGGCACATGCCGAGGTTGTGGCCTCAATCCCCAGTATGGGGTGTGCAGGAGGCAGCCTATCAATGATTCTCTTTCGTCACTAATGTTTCCATCTCTCTCCTTCTTACTTCCTCTCTCTGAAATCAATCTTTAAAAGACATATTAAAAAAATAAAGATTTGTTTGCCCTCGTTACTTCTTATCTTCTTTTGCAATTTTTTATTGTATTTATTTTGTGGTAAAGTATACATAACAAAATTTATTATTTTAACCATTTTTAGATGTACAATTCAGTGGCATTAAATACAGTCAGAATGTTGTGTAACCATCACCCACTATTATTTCCAGAACTTTTTCATCATCCCTAACAGATACTTTATACAAATTAAACACTAGCTCCCCATTTCTCCCCACCCCCAGCCCCTGGTAACCTCTATTCTACTTTCTGTCTCTCTGAATTTGATTACTATAGATACCTCATATAAATGGAATCATATAATATTTGTCCTTTTTTGCCTGGCTTATTTCAAACTTAGCATGTTTTCAAGGTTCATGTGTTGTAGCATGTATCAGAATTTCATTACCTTTGTAAGATGAATACCATTCGATTGTATACACAACATTTTGTTTGTCCATTCATCTATTTCCACCTTTTGGTTATTGTGAATAATGCTGCTATGAACATTGGTGTACACATATCCATTTAAGTCCCAGCTTTCTATTCTTTTTACTGTGTACCTTGAAGTGGAATTTTTGGATCAAATGGTAATTCTATGTTTAACTTTTGAGGAACCATCAAACTGTTTTCCACAATGGCTGCACCATTTTACATTCCCACCATCAAAGCACAAAGGTTCCTCCACATTCTTACCAACACGTATTTTGTTGTTGTTGTTTTCAATAATGTGTGTGAAATGGTATCTCACTGTGGTTTGATTTGCATTTCTCTAATGACTAATGATATTGAGTATCTATTCATGTGCTTATTAGCCATTTTTATAACTTCTTTGGAGAAATGTCTATTCAAAATTTTTGGCCATTTTTGAATCAAGTTGTTTGGAGTTTTTTGTTGAATCTTAGGAGTTCTATATATATTTTTTGGATATTAATCTCTTATCATATATATGCTTTGCAAATATATCCTACCATTCTGTGAGCTGTCTTTTTAGTCTCTTGGTATTGTCCTTTGATGCCCTTCTTTATATTTTTTTGACTTAAATGTGAAGTTATTTCTACCATATATACTCTTTGCTTTCCAATTTTATTCAAAATTATCACAAACATAAAATATGTTAAAGATGTATTATTGCAAATTTTTACTTTTGCTATTATTAATAAAAATAATAATTATTTCTTTATTATTACAAATGTTTTATTTTTATCTAAAACTACTTTTTATATGACCATTTACTATGAAATTGCACTATAGTTCATTCAAGCTTTGGAAGAAGTGATTTTTGCATACAATTAACCAATACAAAACAAAGAATTCACCTTTGACTGTCAATGTTACTACTTAACCCAGGCATTCTGTTTGAAGTCCAATGAGAATATTAAAGAAATTCCATGCTTTAAAAATAGAAGGAATCACTTGCCCTGCTTGTTACATGACTGCCTATGTTAACAATAGACTGAGGTAATTAGAGCCTGTATCTGGAGGTAAACTGATTGGGTTCAAATTTGGGTGCTGCCATTTCCTTGCGGTGGGACTCAGCAAGGTTACTTAACATCTCTGTGTCTCAGTTTCACCATAAGTAAAATGGTGGTAAATTCTAAGACTACCTCATAAAATTGTTGTGAGAATTACAATGAAGTAAAATTTCTAAAGTGTTAGAACATGAGTTGGGATAAAATAAACACAAGTGCTTGTTAAATAACATACAGTAGAGCAGGCTTTAAAGAACACAGAAAAGGCAACCCAGGAGCAGTGACATCTAAGTTGAGATCTGAAGGCTTTGGGGGAAGATTGCCTGCTAAAAATTTGGAGGGAGTAGTGAGGTAAATGGATTGGAGAGTATTCCAACCAGAAGGAGCTACACAAATGAAGCTGAAAACCAAAAACAGTTTGGTGTGTTGACAAAACTGAGAATGCAGTATGATTACAGTGTAAGAGCGGAGAGAGAAGGTTAGAGAAAGAAGGCTAAGAAATTAACAGGAACAAAAATCCTGAAGTATTTTGAATTGAATCTGAACATTAATGTCAGTATGGTGACAGAATCAAATTTGCACTTTGTAAAGGAGGGTCCCTCTGATTACGCTGGGAAGAAAGGATAAACAGACAACATTGGAGGCAGGAAGACCACTTGGGAAGCTGCTGTAGGAACCTACACCAGATGTGAAGATAGCGTGGAGAACAGTAATGGCAAAAGGGGAGGAGACAAGGGAGATATTTAGAAGAGAAACTGATTAGTGTGAGGAAGATGGAGAAATTGGTGATACTTCGGGTTTCTGGCTTGGACAAGGAGTGCATGATGGTGGCGGACTGTAGAAGAAGCCATGAGAAAGTCAGACCAGCCTGAAATGTCAAGTGGGGGGGTGACTTGGCAAGAAATAAAGCAGGAGAGCTTGGTTGGGGCAAGATCAAATTTGGCTTCAGGTCAAATTAAGATTTTGTGATGTTATTCTAAGTGAAATGGGAAGCCATGGGGAGCTTTATTGTTTACACCACTTACTCTCAGGGAAATAAATGAAAAGAAGACTGAATAATTCCCAGGTCCACCATGAATGGCCGAGCAGGCTGTGTGCAGCTCAAATTCAGGGGATGACACTCACATAGATCATGATATAAATGGTACACCCAAAGTCATGCAAAGCACAGCAGCCATCCTTGACATAGCATCTTATGTGGTTCTCTAGTTTGTTTATGTAAATGAATTGCTTATTTCCATAGTAAAACAATAAACATCTCTAGAGCAGAACTTGTTTTATACTTGTTTTCTGTTTCTCAAATTACCTAGCACGGTCCTGAATACACAGCTAGCGCTTATTGAAAAACGTGTGGTCTTGGCTCTAGAAACCACCACTCACTTTGATTTTACTACTATAAGCACTACCTGTTTTATCCCAGAGTAACTCCAACTACACTTACCAACTTTAGTAGATTTAAAATTTTTATTTCTATAATAAGATATTATATTTACATGATTATACTTTTACTGAAGTAAGTGTCATGACACTGATGAATTTTATAACTATTTCTCATTTTCCTTAACTGGTCATCTTTTATTTGAAAATATTTAAGCATTCCGCCCCCCCCCCTTGCATTTTTTTAGAGTAAAAATTTTCATGAACTGGTTTCATGATTTGGTTTCTCCCAACCCCTATGATTATATACCTCTGGCCACTATTCCTGCATTTGATTTAAAAAAATATAAATTTTGGTATCACATGTCTGTTTTGTTTTCTGTATAATACTTTTTCACTGCCATTACTATCAAATCAATTATGATTTTAGGTGTTATATCCCTTACAACACAGAGTCTTATAATTTATTTAAAGGGTCATAATGAATCACAAAAGTCTATGTATAAGCTTTTTACATGATGATCAAAAGTAACCCATTTTCTCCTTTTAAAATTATTCTCATTGTAGTTAATACTACAGTTAGCATCTTCTGAATTTTGTTTGGTGATTCACTGTTAACTCAGTTGTTTATGAGTGAAGGACTACCACACCTGATATCTCATTTTTGTGTGGGGAGAGGTGAGAGGAAGATGAGACCAAGACTACTGACTCACTGCACAAATTAGCAACAATTCTAAGAGGGCAAGGAAGCGCAGCATGCATTTATTTACTTATTTAACATATACTTATATAGCATTTACCATTTACCAATGAAACTGGCCTATTGCCAGGTTTAGAATGCATACCAAAGGGTATAATCTCTGAATTGATATTATTCTGCCATTAACATTACTGTAGCTGTCTTCCTTGATTACTGTATTAAACTAATTCAACTGTCTGACTAGACTAGGTCACAGCCATCACCATGAACTGAGTGAGCATGTAGAACATACAAGTTATGGCAGGTTCAATTTACATATACTTTAGATAAAATGAATGGAACTCACATGTTTATAATTATATATAAAAATATGAAAATGAGCTTTGACTATAGTTTCAAATGAGCATGTAAGTTCCACACTGGAGAGAAGGCAGTCAGTCACAGGCAACTGACCCCACTGGGCTCTGAT